ATCGTCGGTCGGTTGAACTTTGTTCGGTGTCGGCTGGGCGGGAGTGTGTTGAGAGAGGAGAGGGGTCGTATTCAAGCACCCTTTGCGGCTCACCGCAGATCGGAGGACGCGCCTGCTGGCCGGCCTTCGGGGCCGTGTGTCCAGTTGCTATATTTACATACCCGGCTGAAATCCGGATCCAGCGTGCGGCTGGCTAAGTCAGTATCTGGACAGCATCAGAATCGGAGCCGACCGCACGGTGAATCCCAGTCTCAGCTGCTCGTCAACAGGGCAGATGTGTCATCGGCGGTATGCTCGGGTGTTGTGGGTGGAGGAGGAGGCCGGTGATGTCGGCCGCTCTCTGGCACCTTGCTCTACGGTGGGTCGGGCAACACTCTCGATCGAGGGACCCGGGCGCCGCCGCTCTGCCTGCCGCACGCCGGGCAGAGCCGGGCCGGAAGCCAATCCAGGCTGGCCGCGTGCTGCCCGCTCGCAGGGCCGCCGCCGCCGCCGGTATTCGTGTGATACATCGCACCACATTTCCCGACTGTTTAGCGGTATTTTCCCGCGCATTAAACCGCTGATGGCGGTGGCGCATGCGAGGCTGCTAGTTTTAGCGCCTTTCGCCGCTGCCGTCGTGCCGAGGCGGCGGCAGCGGCGCGCCGCTCCGCGTCACGTCGGCCACCTCTCAGCCGCCCAGCGCGGCCGCCGCGCGCTCAGTCTGAGGCGGCGACGGGAGCGGCGGCCGAGACGGCGGGGCCAGCGCGCGAGATAGCGCCACGACCAATAGGGATGGACGCGACAGATGCTGCCGTGGCCAATTAGGCGGCGCGGCCGGCGGCGGCGATCTGCGCCGATCGGTGCGCCGCGTTCGTCACGCCGCGGCTCGGCTGCGCCGAGGGACGCTGACACGATGATGCATGGGCCGCGCCGGAGCGCCGCCGAGGCTCGATAAAGCGCGAGCGGCGCGGCGCTCAGCGGCCATCTGTCAGCGGGAGCTCGGCCCGGCCGGCAGATCAGATCCGGTCGGCAGGCCGGCCGATCAGATCCGGTCGGGGGGCCGGACCGATCAGATCCATCCGGCAGGCCGCCGCAGGAGCCCCTGGGCGGCGCGCAGCCATCTACATGTTGTGCCGGTTCCGTGCGCCGACGCACACGGCTCGGCCAGCCCGCAGCCGGGATGAGCAGCGGCTAAACGGCGACTCACTCCGGGGCGGCTCACTCCGGGGCGCCCCACTCCGGGGCGGCCCACTCCGGGGCGGCTCACTCCGGGGCGGCCCACTCCGGGGCGGCTCACTCCGGGGCGGCCCACTCGGCGCGGCCCACTCCGGGGCGGCTCACTCCGGGGCGCCCCACTCTGCGCGGCCCACTCCGGGGCGGCTCACTCCGGGCTGCCCATTCCGGCGCTCCCCACTCCGGCGCGGCCCACTCCTGGGCGGCCCACTCGGCGTGTCCCACTCCGGGACCACACGGCTCCACCTGACCGCGCCGCGCGCGTCACCCCCTCCCCGCGGCGGCCGTCCCGTGCAGCACGCACGTTATCGCCGGCTTCGACTCGCCGCCGTGCACTGTACGCGGCTCGGCGCGCGCTCGCGGCACGCTGTCACCCATCGGCGGCAGCGCCGGTCGGCAGGAAACCTCGTCCGCCGACCCAGTTCGCAGCGCCATGCGGGCAGCTGGCGCTGGCGCGAACGCTTGTCTCCCCATCTTCCGCCGCGCTAAAAGCCGCCTTATCTTTATACACACACCATTAAGTTCTCGAGTTGCATTAGTGGAGGAGATAGCGCACGCTGGACGACGGCTGAGCAGGCCGGCGCCGGCCCTGCTGGGCGCTGCCGACGGAGAGCTCCGCTGGTGCTGATGGAGGGCTGCCATGGCGATAGTGGAACTCTGCCGATGTTACTGGAAGGCCCTGTTGTTGGTGGAGAACTCCACTGCTGTTGCCTTGAGTATACTAAGAGCGATTGTTGAGGCTCGTGGGTTGTCTGAAAGCTTGGATTGTGGATTTGGGCCTTTTATGTCAGGGGATGCTGGTGGGGGGGGGGGGGAGGTACTTGCTGATGCTGCTTCGTACTGGTCAGCAGTGGCGCAAACGGGAAGGCACGCCCCCTTCTAAGCCACGATTTCAGCGACCACAGAGCTGGCCTGGGGGTCGTATGAAAGGGGCCCGACACACTGGGCCGGGCCCTCAAATGCTAGTCAGAGGGCTCTTTGCGCTGATGGGCCCATTGAGTCGATGAGGGCCTCTACGTTGGTCAGGTACTGCCAGCACTCGACAGTCGGCTCCGCGTCCGTGTCCGCCGGAGGGCTCATTTCCCAAGCCAGCTCGAGACCTGGGTCCGCGATTTGCTTTGGTCTGGGCCCCTGAGTCAGTGAGCAGCCCCCTTGTTTTGGCCAGAGATCCACAGCGCTATACAGGGGTCTCGTGTTGGCAGGGGGCCCCGGCTCGGCCAGGGCGAGTGTTTGATGTGGCCCGAAGAAGGGCCCGAAGAGGGACTAGGAGCGCCCATCAGGACGGAAGATAAAGGGCCCGATTAAAATACCAAAGTGCTCGTAGGTCCCGAAGGATGGCTGCGTTCAAACCACGGCCCGAGGGCCTTTCGCGTCTAGGAGAGAACCGATTCCACCGTGTTGTCGCCAGAATGGCAGCCGGTAGGCACCCCGCGCTGGTATGGGAATGGCCCTTCAGCTCTCGGCTGGGAACAATTAATGCGGTGTTCATGATTGATACAAACTAATCGCTGGCGTTCTTTCCGGCGGAGACCTTGCACGGAGAAGGTAAGCGGTCTTATAAGTATTCAAAAAGTGAATCAAAAGGTCAAACATGGAGAAAGGACATCCGTGGTTCTCAGAGGACGTCCAGTTTGTTGCCGAATCGACTAGCGAAACAAATTGCAAACAAAGGTTTTGAGCCAACGCGCTGCCAATGTTAGGAGCTAGAGCACCGATGACAGTAGGGATGCAGTTTACGTAAAACTGAGCGGCGTTGGCCGCTGCAGGTAACACCAGTCGGCGGACGCTGGTCTCGCAAGAAAGACCACGTGAAATATTGTGTTCGGAAGTCCTTTAAAATGAATCCGTGCAGTTGAAAGATAAGGCTAGGGCGCATATTTCACTTATACAATTTTGAGGATGCCTTCTGAACAGATTAATACCTGCAATGGCAACGCAAAAAATTCAGCTTGTACTCTTCCAATTCTGCCATCAGACACGTGCACTAATTTGTGGTGCTGGAATGTTTATCCGTCCCTATTACCAACCGCATAATCGCCTGAGTGAAATATGCGCCCGAACTCCGTTTTTCACGCACGAATTTATGCCCTAAACAGTTCGAAGGTACTTCTTTCAGATACGTCATCATTTTCGCCCGCCCGGGGTCAAACCAGTTGACGAGCGTAGACTGTCCATGTTCAAACAAATTATTGACCGCATTTCGGTCTACAATCTACGTTCTTGTGATCCTCAATATCATTTTAGAATCCATGTAAATCATGGCGTAGTCTCTAAGTGCTATCGGTTCAGACAGAGACTACTGCACCATTGCAAAATGAATAGCACCTTCGATTTATTCCAGGCGGCCATTTAAAACATCTTCCTTCATTTCATCTATCCTAAAATATAAACAGTCTTGCGTCTTCCGGTAGCTTCCGGCTTGTGTCCCAGTTAGAGGGGACAAAAATGAAATTAAAATTGACAAAATCGTGCTCCCTCGAAATCAGGTGAACTGTATCCGGTAATTGTTTCGTTAAGAGGGGCGGGGGCTTTCACCATCAGTGACCCTTTGGCAACCCTGCATTCCCCACCCCCTTTCCAAGCCTAGTATAGCCGCGCCCGGATGGTCAGCAAGATCTATTGCTGCTCAAGGGTGGTGAGGCGGAACTGGTCCAGCGAACCCATGTGAGCAATGCTCTTTACCAGCAACCGCACAGAATGTGATGAGAACGTCCACTTGACGGGACCGCGACCGATTGCGGCACGCATGCCACTGTGTGTCATTGTGTCCGTGCTTACACTATGTCCGTGTAAGCAGTAGCACGAGCCACGTGGGCCACCGCACAAGTCAGGATGGTCTTCGTCGGCAGGATCCCCACGTGAAGCTCTCATGCCGCAGCCGCCTGCCTGCCGCCTGCCATCAGGCGCGTCTCGTTCGATTGTCCGTGTGTGTGCGTGCGTGCGCGCGTGAGTGCCGCGCGGATGGCTGAGAGGCTCTCCCAGCATACGACCACGCTGGCCAGCTGGATGGCTGAGAGGCCAGCATGCGAGCACGCTGGCCAGCTGGATGGCCCCAGATACGCCCTTTTGTGGACGATCGCAACCGAACGTGCGCAATTACTGCCGTGTCCTCCACTGCTGCCGCCGGCAAATGTCTAGCGCTGATGGGGTTTACAATGGTCATTTCGTCTCTGAATTTCCCGTGCGGAAGACAGGCCCAGCTCCAGTGGCCGTTCACAGCAGGCCGCCGTGCGCGCTATATCACTCGGACGACGCGTGTCGCGTTGGCGGCGCTGCCCCGCGCCGTTCGGGGAAGCCGAGCGCGCCCCGCGCCAGGGTCCGCTCCACACTCAGCTGGGGTGGCCGGGAACGATTCGCCGAAGCTGGGCCCGCTCGGCGCGGCGTGTTGTCAGTAGTGTGAGGTCGGCGTCAGAACACTGGCCGACATTGCTACGGCACCGGTGGGGGGTCGCGGTGCACTGAATCTCCCCCCCCCCCCCGCCGACCCGGAGACCACGGTACCGGCGGGGGTAGTGGTGCACGGAACTCCCCTCCCCCGACCCGTAGACCCACATTGCTACGGTACCAGCGGGGGAGCGGCGCGCTGAATCAGTCTCCCCCCCCCCCCCCCCACGGACCCGTCAGAGCCACGCCAGATTTACTGAAGGTCACCAATCATCGGTTCTGGGAAGGTGGCCGCCAATTTACCGAATGAAGACGGACGGCTGCGGTCGAAGAATTGCGCCAGACTGCGCAGTCATCGAGCCGGTTCGGAAGCCGCCCAGCCGAGCACCAAATGAAAAACGTCAGTCAGAGTAATGACACGGGGTCTATATTTATCAGAGGACGTCGCCTCATTGATATACGTTCATTACACCATGAGATAACAAGGTTGAAAACAAACGAGTCCGGTGTCCAGCCGGCTAGGCGTCAGTGGGACGCTGCCTGGCAAAAGTAACGCAACGCAAACACCAAATCAACGGTAAACGAATTAAAGCTAACTCGGCTTCGTCCTCCTTACCATCACATTATGAAAGCCACAACGGCGTCACATGCAGACGCAGTACACGGGAGTAATCACAGAAGACTGGTTTCTATCGGCGGGCCGAGCCTGGCCCCCGGTATGCCCATTCGCGTCGCGGAGATCCCCCGAGACGGTCGCTCGTTCTCGAGCGAGACAGCGCGGGCGTCTCCGGCGAGACGCTTCGCAGCCACACCCCGCTCCTTGGTCGGGATCCTCGGAGATCTCCGCGACATGAGGCGAGGTCTCCGAACTCCGGAGACCGGCGCCGCACAGCCGAGAGTGGCGCCGCCCGCCGCGACGCAGCCGGGAGCAGCTACATGACGGCCGGCTGCCGGTGGAGGTAGGGCACCATGTCGAGCGTCGGAACGCCACCTGGAACAAAACCGGCTGCAGTCAGGGCTGGGGCGTGCTTGCCCGTTTCCACGCCAGTCCACCATGAGAGAACCCCACCGCCAGCCGACCAAAATAGACTTCCGGCGACGGAAATTGCCCGTTCCCGACATCTGGAGTGGTCACAATTCGCAATTGTGCGCGATTACATTTGTCAATGACCGCATTATGCCCGGCCCGTAATGACAGGGGTATTTCGCTCGATTGCATTCGAAGGCCGCCATTAAGTGCACTTACGGACCGCGTAATTTCGGCGAGTCGTAAAGAAATCGGACGCGCCACGCGGCCGAGCGGCGCGCCACGCTCAATAGCGCGCGCTTTCTCGCGCGCCGCGGCGTCGCTCCAAAGCGCCGCGCAAACAGTACCGCCAGCGCCGCCCAAGTTTACGACGAATGGCTCGGCTGAAAGGGCGGATCGGCGGGCGATGGATGTGCCCTCTGCCGGCGGAAAACCCGCCGATAAATAACCGAGGGCGCTGATGGACGGAACGCCAAATGAACGGCCGCCGCCGCGGCGGACGCGGCGCAGCGAGGCTTTTGTGGCGCGCTGCGGCTTATCCGCACGGAGCGGCTCGTTTTCGGCGAGAGCGGAGTGGTAAACAGAGGAGCGGGACGCGGCGTGGGAGGGGGAGGTAGCGGATGACGCAGGGTGTGTATGCCCTCAGCCTCCGGCGGGCGGCTGCCTTGGCATCGATGTGAGCCGAAGCCGCCCCGAGGCCTTCGAAAATCGATGCTTATCCATTAATGAATCCTTTGAGGACGAGGAGCAGGCTCTGTACTCGATAAATCATACTGACAAGGCCGTCGGCGAAACAATGACCGATTCGACGGGCCGAGCCGCTCGCGCGCGGGGCCTCTGCGACTGGTATCGCGCCCAGCCACCCAAAACAACTGTGCGTCGACCGCCAGCGCCGCATTCGCCTCTGGCCTGAGACGCTCGACGTCGGCACAGCCCCAGCGCCATGTAGTGCTGGCCGTTGTCTAATGCAGACTCGCTGGGCGGAACGGGGGAACGGCTCCAACACAGCGCGCACGGCGCCGCCACCTCGGCCTTGGCCGGAAGCGACAAAGGGCGCTGGCACGAGCGCCGGCGCCGGCAGGAAGCAAGGCCATCCACACCGGAAACGGCTGGCCGGAGCCGCGGCTCTGACGCGAGGCGGCCTAAGCGAGCGGCGGTAGGCACGTGGTGCCGGCGACGGTGCCGCCGTCTGCTGCACGACGTTCGGTGCTGGCCGGCCGGCAGCGTCAGAATAGTTGCTTGTGCACCTGTGACCTGCCGACTGCTGGTCAACTGACATGCCTCTGCCAGGAGACGCCGGTTATCTTCGCCACGCCCGCCCCCTCCCCCTACGTCCGGCACCCAGGCGAAGGGGGAGGGGGGGGGGGGGGGGGCGGGCATGCGCAGCGCTCGTTGGCGATAAATGGACGCTGTTTTACGGCCGGCAGGCGGACACTAAACATACTATTGAGCCATTCACTCGGCAGCAGGCTTTATGACCGGTGACGTCGACCCCATGACGTCACACTAATCAGCTGTCGGGCACGCTAGGGCGGAGCGACTGCTCGCCGGCGCCTCTTCGACGGTGTAGCCGGGCATGCCCGCCGCCCAGCCCCGATGCGGCCATATTCCTGAGGCAGCGCCGGCCAACACGGCGTCATCACCACACTCACCGGAGTCCGGCGTGGGTTTATGGCCGACTTTGCGGCGTGCGGCGAGCTCCGCCTGCGTTAGAAAGCGCCGCGCGGCGGGGCGCGGCCGGTGAGCGCCGACCCACACATTTCGGGCCGCACCGCCGCACCACAGGAGCAAAATGGGAGACATTCGCCCATAAAGCAGGTAAATTGCCCCACTTTACGGCGCTCTTAATTACTGCTGCGACGATAGGCGGCTTTTTACGGCCGCCGGCGGCGCTGCGGCGCTCCTCTGACCGCTGACGTTGACGTGGCAGATTCTGGCGAGGCCTGGCGAAGCCCGGCGAGACCTGCCGCCGGCAGTCACGCCACGCTCGCCACGTAATCCCGCTAAATATTGACACGCTCAAAACGTGTTTGACCTCCATCAGCTTGTCCGGCCCGGTGCCATTGCTCGGAACCTGAGCACTCGACGCCGACATTTTCCTCCGAGTCGTGTGCAGACACTTGAGTTGAGAACGGTCACCGCGGACGAGAACCCTCTCCGCTGAGACCGATAGCTGGCTGTTGGCTCTCTTGTGCCGCTGGTCCACGGTGACGTCACCATTGGACAATCTCGTCAGCAGTTTAGCCAATCTCACGGTCGGTGCACTGGGCGGCGTTCGGAGGGAGCGACCTAAGGGGAGATGCCGCCGACGCCGCGCCTCTCTCCGCAACCCGGGGTCGCTGAGCGGCGCTCGCGTCTACCGCCCGTCTGCCGTGACGCCGCGCCGCCGGCCGGCGCGGATTCGGGCGCCTGGCCGTCACAAACGCCGGACCGCGGTGCCAGGCTGTCATGAGCGTGACCGCCGGCCTGCGGCCCCCCGACCGACCCATCACACCACCGCACCGCTGTGTCAGGTCACAGTGACGCCCCCCGGGCCTACGACGCCCCTCCCCTCCAGGACGGACATGGCGCGCCGGCTTCGGCCCGGCGGCCGTCTCCAATCGCTAAGGTAGGGTACGACGTGGGCGTCCCGCAGGCGCGCTCGCTCGCACGCGCTGCTGGGCGAGTCCTTCGGGCTGCAGTCACGGCGCCCGACCCGCGACGGACGCTTATCTCAAAGGCCATCCTCGGCGGCGCCGCTCGCTTGGTGCTCGGCTCTACAGGCGCCGCTCGCTTGGTGCTCGGCTCTTCCGACAGCGCGCAGCGCGGGCGGTGCTCCACACGCCAGTCAGCCGCCCTTTGTTGTCACACATGACGGGACAGGGCCAACGGGCACGCGGCCGACCGGCCGGCCGGCTTGACCCGCCCAGAGGCCGGCCTGTGGTACGACGACTGATATCTTCGTGCAGCAAATCTACCAAGAAATCCGCGAAAACATCACGACATATCACAGTGTCATTACAGAGGACAGCCATCTGCCGAATTGGGGCAGGCGGCGGGCACCGACAGGGTGGCGTTGTGTACCCCGACAGACGGGGCCAGGCGGCAAGCGCGAACAGGGTGGCGTTGTGTACCCCGGCAGACGGGGCTAGGTGACAAGCGCGGACAGGGTGGCGTGGTGTACCCCGAATGAGCGCAACGCGTGTTGGCGCCCGTCACCTCGCCACAGAGCCATGGTAGCCCGGGGCCGCCGTCGAGGCAGCGGCGCTCACGCGCTGCTGGTAGTGCTGGCGGCTGGGCGGCCCCACCACGCTTAGTCAGCTCATTAGCGGCGATTCGGGCGGGTTCCCAGGCCGGCCGGCTGCCGGCCCCAATCTGAGGCCCCCCCCCCCCACCCTCTCCCCCTCTGCCCACAATTGTCAGCGTGCGTCACCGGAGTCGGCCGCCTGTCGGTGGCCGGGTCAGGTGGCTGTTTTTATCCCCGGCTAAGGTTCCATTCCCCCGTCCCCCGCCCCTCCGCCGCGCGTCAGGTGGGCTCCCCTCAGCTGCAGTTGTCGGGGGGGGGGGGGAGGGGGGGGGGGGGGACACGCGGGCCTGCCTCCTCTCGTGAGAAGGCTCAGCTGGTGAATGCATTAGACTTCAGCCACTACATAGATTTCCCCGGACGATTTCTGTAAAAATCTCGCCTGATTTCCCAATCGTATTCAGTCTCACGGAGTACACCCAGTTACCGTGCGGCAAAACTGCATCAGATGGTTTCTTCCTCATGTGCGATCGCGAAATGCTTTCTTTTAACGTCCTGAGAAGTTCTTTTTTCGCCTCAAAAGAAGACGGAAAATCACGCGCTGCACGCTAGCTTGCGCTTTCAAGTGGCCTCGGTACACGTTCGAAGACTACGTCATCCCTGATAGCCCGAGCCCTGCGCCGGACTTAGAGTTGGAGATGGAGGCTAGGGGCTGGGGCTGGGGGTCTGCGTGGGCAGCAAAGGCAGATGCAGCGTGCTGTCGGTGGGGGCCTCCGTGGATCATGGGACGTTTCCAGCAGGAGCGCCCGTGGATCATGGGACGCATCCAGCAGGGGTGCCCGTGGATCATGGGAGGCTTCCAGCAGGAGCGCCCGTGGATCACGCGACGCTGTCAGCGACAGACCCCTGCCGTCCGATGGGCGCGACCGAACTGGTCGCACGCCGCCAGACGGACGGCCCCGCCCAAAATAGGCGCCGCCCAGGCACCGCGGCACAGAATGAATGGGCGCCTTCCAGCTGATCAGACAGCTGATTACCCCCAGCTGTCCTCCCCTCCCCTCCCCTCCCCTCCCGGCGCCGCTGCCGCCGGTCTGGGGACCGTAATCCGTCACGGGATGCGGCCAACGCTGGCGGCGCCTTCGCTGGTGGAGCGGTGCCCCGACGGCGTGCGGCGCTCACATCGAGCCGGGCGCCAGCCTCTCCCCACGCGGCGGGGAGCGGTGCCCCGACGGCGTGCGGCGCTCACATCGCGCCAGGCGCCAGCCTCTCTCCACGCGGCGTTCGGTTGACGCCATTTTCTGGCGCATCGAGCGGCACGCGGCCCCGGACGACCCCAGCGGCGGACCACTGGCTCGTCTGGTGGTGAGACGCCCCGCTGGCAGCGATGACCTGCTGCAAGAGGGGTGGCGGCGTCCCTCCCGGCACGCCGCCGACCCGGCTCGGCCGGCATCGTTCAGAGCAGGCGGGCGCGCGGCTGGCCGACTCCAACGCAATGGCCTCCTTTCTTCATTTATCCCCTAATGACGTTTGTCACGAAAGGTGGCCCATTAATTTCCGGTGGCGGCATGACTCTAGGAGCAGCCGGACAGCCAGCCGCCAGTGGATCTTCAGCCGGACAGCCAGCCGCCCGCGGACCGTCAGCCAGGCAGCCAGCCGCCCGTGGACCGTCAGCCGGACAGCCAGCCGCCCGCGGACCGTCAGCCAGGCAGCCAGCCGCCCGCGGACCGTCAGCCAGGCAGCCAGCCGCCCGCGGACCGTCAGCCGGACAGCCAGCCGCCCGCGGACCGTCAGCCGGACAGCCAGCCGCCCGCGGACCGTCAGCCGGACAGCCAGCCGCCCGCGGACCGCCAGCCGGACAGCCAGCCGCCCGCGGACCGTCAGCCGGACAGCCAGCCGCCCGCGGACCGCCAGCCGCGGCCAGCCTGGCACGACCACGGGCACGGGTAGGCTGCCACCAGCCGTCCCACGCCGACCCAGCAATTGTGCAGACTCATGGCGCTACAGTGACACTGACATGACCCCAGCGATCGCATGATGATTCGATGGACCGTGGTCAAAAATACATTTATGAATGCGACCACGGCACACCCAATTTAGCGGAATGGAACAATCTAGGCAATCTGATGCCATGCTGTGTTGGCTGCTCCATAACTTTGAAACATTCCCGTTAAAGTTTCCAGACCACTTCCCGTCCGGACTGATTAATGAGCGCCTCTGATGGCGCACCTCCCAGAGCACTTGCCACCGATGATTAAGAGCGGTCTCTTTGGTTATGAGTTTCGCGAGTCGCCCTTGGGCGCAATGCGTTAGTGTTCACCCGAAGGCCAAGCTCACCGTGCTCGACACAGCTGGCCGGCTGCCCGGCTGCCCGGTTGCCCAGCTGCCCGGCTGAAGGCGTGACTGTGAGTCAGTGTCGAGCCATCGTCAAAAACGGCCGGGCCAGACAGGCGAGGAAGCATGCCAACGTGGCCACCACCGCCGCCGCCTGAGACTCCAGTGAGGGCCAGAGGCACGACCTCACACGTCACGGTACACAGCACGCTTTCCGGGATGGATCGTACCAGATGATGACAGCGAGAAAAGCGATGTCAGGTAATGACGTCAGGTGATGACGGTGAGAAAAGCGATGGCAGGTGATGACGTCAGGCGATGACGGTGAGAAAAGCGATGGCAGGTGATGACGTCAGGCGATGACGGTGAGGAAAGCGATGTCAGGTGATGACATCAGGTGATGACGGTGAGAAAAGCGATGTAAGGTGATGACGTCAGGCGACGATGGCGAGGATAGCAATGTCGCACCTCGCCAAAGACGTGTGCTCAAACCATTCAGCCGCAGTGCCGAGCTCACGACTGCAAACCACCTCAGGCAGCGTGAGGATGAAACAACGACGTGATGTTCGCAGAGCAGCCAATCACAGGCCTGCTGGAAGCTCTGGCTGGCTGCCGCACCAGGGACGACTCGTGGCCGAGGGGGCTGTACGGCCGCTGGCCGGTCAGAACCGGCGCGGCCAGAGGAGGCCCCAGCTGCCGTCGCCGCTCGGGGCCCGCCGCTGACTAGGCAGATACGGCGGCTCAGAGACCGCAGCACGCGGCGACCACCTCTACCCCACCCGGTGGCCTGGGTGATACGCTGACCACGGCACTGTCCGCTCTCCCGCCTGCTCAGTTCCCGGCTCACCGCTTACTCTCCTGGCGGTCGTCCTCTTTCCTTGCACACCGCCCGAGTCATCTTTCCTTGCACGTCGTTCTCTTCCCTTGCCGTTGGGATTTATTTGGTCGGCGATCTGACAAGATTTACCGACGCTGCAGGCATCCAAATGACATACGAAATGATTCATTCCGAACGTGTTGCCGTATTTAGATGAGCTGATAGACCCCACGTGACGTCACTGGCGGCGATTGGCCGGACTCGGCGCCTCCATGTGCCTGCATACCCTGATAAACTCGCTGCCGACGCAGCCAAAGCCACGATTGCCCGGCAGAGGATCCAACGCAGAGGTCATCCCAGCTGGCAATCAGCTAGTGTTGGTCGAGACGGCCATCGCCGTCGGCGACGAGGTGGTCCCCGACCGCTCACGGGACTGCCGACCAAACTGCTGTCCTGACGATTGTCAGTGGCACCGCCGCTGACAGGGTCTCCGGCAGACAGGCCGCTGACAGGACCTCTAGCAGACAGGCCGCTGACGGGGCCTCTGGCAGACAGGCCGCTGACAGGACCTCTAGCATACAGGCCGCTGACTGGACCTCAGGCAGACAGGCCGCTGACAGGACCTCTGGCAGACAGGCCGCTGACTGGACCTCTGACAGACAGGCCACTGACAGGACCTCAAGTTCGTTCAGACAGGCGGCCTCTGATTGTATCCGAGCCAGACCCTGGGGCGGGTCGGTCGTCTGCCTGGCTGGCCGTCGTCCGGGGAAGTACCCTTGAGGCCGGGCCCGGCTCCGCAGCCCGCAGGCCCGGTCGGCCGAGCGCCAGGCTCGGTGGCCGGGCGGCTGGACAGCGCGTCCCACGGCAGGGGCCGCTCCACGACCGCTAGCGATCGACCCCGCCATGGAAAACTATCGATCGGCCATCTTATTGTTTTGGCTGCCGAGCCCGGCGGGCCGGCAGTTCCAGTTCATTTGAAGGCGCATTAAATTTAACGAGAGCGTCCAATGCCTGGCGCGATAGGAGCCGGCCCACTGCCCGCCGCGATCACTGGGATCAGAGTCGGCCCACTGCCCGCCGCGATCACAGGGATCAGTGTCGGCCCACTGCCCGCCGCGATCACAGGGATCAGTGTCAGCCCACTGCCCGCCGAGATCACAGGGATCGGAGTCGGCCCACAGCCCGCCGTGCTCACTGGGATCAGAGCCGGCCCACTGCTCGCCGCGATCACAGGGATCAGAGCCGGCCCACTGCCCGCCGCGATCACAGGGATCGGATTCGGCCCACTGCCCGCCGTACTCACTGGTATCGGAGTCGGTCCACTGCCCGTCGCGATCACTGGGATCGGAGTCGGCCCACTGCCCACCGCGCTCGCTGGGATGGGAGTCGGCCCACTGCCCGCCGGGCTCACTGGGATCAGAATTAGCCCACTGCCCGCCGCTCTCACTGGGGTCGGCCGCGACGCGCACCGACCGGAGCGGGCTGCGCACGGACGCCGGCAGCGACAGCTGTTTGGGATTATAGAAGCATGGCCCCGAACGGCAGCCTACATGCCGTCAAACGTAATGCGTCCATAGGCCGCAATCTAATTTCGAGTCAGTAGCCAGACGTCCTCGTCGTTACGATAACAAGGGTAAGCGAAAAAGAGGAACTGGGGCACCCTTACACTCACGGTAGAGATCACCTTCCAGTTGCTGCAGCCGACAGCAAGACTGAGCGGTTCGGTGAGCGATGCCCCGGTTCGCGCGGTTCGCACAGCGTCACCGCTCGAACGCTCGCCATAGATTCTTACATTTCTGCCCTACATGCTTCTGTGGGCCCTTCTTCTCTGTAAAAGTATGACTCACGCTAGACACAGAAATGCTATGAAAAAGTTCCCAATTGGCACCTGTTTACGGTGAAGCAGGCTTCATGATTGACGACGAGCCCCCGCTGCCAGCGCTGCGGCCGAGCTCCTGAGGCTGCCCCTGCTCACCTGGCCAGTAGGCGACGCGCAGCCTCTTGGCCGCCGGCTGCGACACGTCGGTCCGCCGCTTGCGCTTGGCCAGCACGTCGCGGGCGTCACTGTCGGCGCGCTGCTGCTGCTGCTGCAGCCGCTGGCACCACTCGGGCGGCTCCAGCTCGACGCTCGAGTAGCCGCTGTCCGAATCACAGCTCACAGTGGGCGTCACGAACGAGGCCGGTGCGCCACGGCCGGCCTCGCAGCCGTACCGCTCCAGCATGCAGTTGTAGCGGGCGGGCGTCGGCAGCAGCTGCTGCTGCACCGGCTGCAGCGACTGCGGCGCCACGTGCTGCAGCGGCTGCTGCAGCGAAGGGTGCGTCGCTTGGTGCAGCAGTTGACAAGGCGGCTGGTGCGGTTGGTGGTACCGCGGCCAGTGGTGCGGAGCATCCGGTTTCTGGAAGGTCTCTGGTGCGACAGGCGCGGCGGCGGCGGCGGAGGCAGCGGATGGCGCCGGCTCCTGGCCGCCGTGAGGGATCCGCCGGCCGTAGAAGTTACAGAGCTGACAGACGCAGCCGGCGCCGAGCGTGCGCCGATGCCGCAGGTGCTCAAAGTACTGCGGGTGCACGATCAGCAGCGGCTCGCTGTGCTCCGGCGGGTAGGCCTCCTTCGGCAGGTCGTACTCCACTGTCGTGTCCACGAACAGCGGCTGGCTCAGGTCCTTGGCGTCCGATGACGAGCTGACGCGGCTGGAGCACAGCGGAGCCGCGCACGGCACCGCCCTGCCTGGGTACGTGCTCGTCTGGACGGGCGGCGCGCACGACTCGGGCCGCAGCCGCCTCCAGCACTCCTTGGCCGGCTCGAGCAGCACCGTCGACTCGGGCCGCCATGTCGTCTCGACGACTCGCAGGCCGGCCGTCGGCTCGCCGAACGCCAGCGACATGTGGGGCACGTCGGGCACCATCGCGACGCCGCGCGTCCCAGCAGGGTGCATTCAGGCGCACGTCGACTGCACTGACATCACCGCCGCGGCGCGCTCACTTAGCCAGCTGCCAACGGGAGGAGCCGCTCGCGCACATCCGCCTTCGGCCGCGCCCGCCTGCCTTCTGACGACGGCGTCAGCTGGCGGCAGCTGCGCGCGCCGCCCGCCAGGGGCGCTGGGGTCACCGGGCCGATATTTAAATGACCGGATTCCGATCATAGCCGACATCCCGGCGCGGCGCCGATGCGTCTTTTCCGCCGCTGCCGTGGCCCGCTGCGCCGCGAGACGGACCCAGTCCTGCCTCGCTCAGCACTCATGTCTGATATGTGTGTTATTCCGGCCATCCTAGCGGCGGGTTTGAACCGAAATTATAAGCAAGGACGTGTTTGGCAGTGTAGCGCATTCCACTGCTTCGGAGATCAGCTCCTCCGCGGGTCTGCGGCTCCGGAGATCAGCTCCTTCGCAGGTCCGCTGCTCTGGAGATGGGCTGCTCTGCGAGTCCGCTGCTCTGGAGATGGGCTGTGCGGGTCCGCTGCTCCGGAGATCAGCTCCTCAGCAGGTCCGCTACTCAGGAAATGGGCTGCTCTGCGGGTCCGCTGCTCTGGAGATGGCTGCTCTGCGGGTCCGCTGCTCCGGAGATCAGTTCCTCTGCGGGTCCGCTGCTCCGGAGATCGGTTCCCCTGCGTTTCGCTCTGTCTCGACCAGCGTGACGCATGGCCTTTTGCGATGTTATTTCAATGCCGTTACCAAGGCAATTACAAAATCAGTAAAGCGCTTGTATATTTTTCATCGCCGCCATGAAATCCATCCACGGTTCTTGAGCGTCCGTTTCGAATATTTATTCGTCGCTAGAAAAATACGCGCCGCCATTCATTGTGCGAAGGGCCACGCGTGGTCGGCAGATCGACAGAGGACACGTCGGACGGGGAGGGGTCGTCCGTCGGGCACAGCGGCGCCCCCCCCCCCCCCCCCCCCACTCCCCACGGCAGGGAGGGGGGAGGCGCCTCGGGTCGTCCGTCGGGCACAGCGGGGGGGGGGGGAGGTGCCTCGGGTCGTCGGTCGGACACGCTACTGTTGGTAAGACAGCCTGCCGGCAGGGTTGACCAAGGTCATTTGGGGTGACATGCGACCGGCAAATTGACCTCGAGTTGGCTGGGGTAAGGTCACTGGATCGCAGACGGTCTGGCAGCCGACAGGGCGTGCCGACTGTGATATTCCCCCACCCCTCCCTTGATCCCCGCCAACCGACACGGGGTTGTGAAGGCACGCACCGGCTCCGACTTGAGTCCCGAGCGAATGGCGGCGCCGGACGGCGAGCCAGAGTTACAGCCACCCGGCCATCTTGATTGGCCCTTGTGTACAGGCATAGCTGTTCATATTTCTGTCGAAAGAGTCTGCTTTTTCAGAGATTATTTATTTGACTCGATTAAGAGCAAGAGAACGGGTATATCAGACGCATGCTGACCTCAATCACCCGGCGTCACGAGAATCCCAGCCCAAGGCCTGAGTGATCGCCGGGTGGAGTGCACCGCTATTGCCGGCGGCAGATGTCTTACCCTCCGCCATCACATACCTTCAAGTGTCTTGTTAGTGAATGGATGCCTGGTATGGCAGATCACGGGGTAACAGATAATGTGGCAAAATTTTAATGCAAGCACATCGTAAGTATAAGGTGGGACAAAACGCAACATGACCAAACATGGCATGACGCCAAATCTTGCACGGCAAAACCTTGCGCACAGGAAATGGAACGAATATATAATAAGCCAAGCAAAAAATCGTGAGGATGGAGATTGCCATAGCAAAGGTCGTCATTAAGGACAATCGCATGGCGAAGGAAAATAAGAGAGAGGTTATGTGCGGTACATCGCAATGAACAGGTGGTATAGGATGAGGCAAGACAGTTATTGTTATAACAGAAGTAAAAGTACCTAAAAAACAGATCCAAGCTAGCTGTGAGTCCATAGAACAGAGAGCAACAGCGCTGGATACCTTTACATATTCAGTTGGACATGCTACAGACCTAACCCCCCGCCCCCTCCCGGTCATTTTCCTTTTCCTTCACACCCCGGATTCAAGTTTGCACCCAATTTGCACCCGAAATCCAAAAAACAGTCTACGTGGCTTAGCTCGGCGTCTAAGAATGTGTGCGCATCTCCACAGTTTCTGGCGGGTTTTTGAGAGACCCCTGGGAGTTAGGAATGGCCCCTATGCGGAGGTGTCCAGCACCCGCATTTTCGATTTCCTGGTTCCAGCTACAGTTCCTGCCACGCCGACTTCCGACCAGGTGCCTGTCCAATGCCGTCCTCCTAGTAATGGCAATCCCAGATGGAGGAGTCATAACAAGATTGTTGCCTACGTCGGATAATTGATCTTGGAGTTACGTCTGCTTCTCTCTTCAGAGGTCTTACTATGAATGTTAAAAGCGGCGCTCTAAACCAACACATGGCACAGTGCCACCAAACAAAGTTGACGCGGAAAAACACGAGAACGAAACAGCACAACAACGCACGAGTGATGACATGAGAGGCTGTACTCATCCGTCAGCATGCCAAACAACACTCGCATGTTGAACGCCGACAAAAACAGAAACACAACGGGCAACAACAGATCACCAGAAACGCATTACGAACATATCTTGTGTAAAAAGTCAGAACCTGTAGCAAATATGATTGGCTCTTGTCAACCCCTTCCATGCGCCCCATACGGATCGGAGTTTGGAGACATCTTTCATGACCAAATAGAAAACGGCAGCTTCTCTCTCAACGCACATCTCTTTCGGACCCAAAAATCTCCCGTTCCTCACTATGTCTATCGTCACAGACCTGAGACAATCAATCAGTTTATGCTCTTTTACCCACTTTTTCGGCACTCAGACGCATTTTCCTACAACATGTCACGCAACTATCATGTCTTTGTTTTGACCCGTTTTTGAAAACCTGCACCACGCACGCCATTAATGTGCGATATAAAAATCAACGAGGACGGTCGGGTGCTCGCGGTGTGCTTCCAAGACCATCTCATCAAGCACTAAAACTACGGCATGACTCAACAGACCTGGTGCTCTGAAATAACACACGCACACACGCACGCACACACACACAACACACACACACACACACACGCACACACACACACACGCACAACACACACACATATGTGTGTATATATACGCATATATATGTATATATATATATATATATATATATATATATATATATCAGGCCTGGCGCTCTGCGCCCTAATACAGGCGTGCCTGTATGACTCTCCACACATATTTTAATTTCTGAAATATAATTTGCATCACATATATTACAGCACATACAGAAGAAGAACTGAGAACCGAAAACTTTGTCGCATTAAAAAGACTTAGTCAGCGCCTTCGATAGCAAGTGCACATACGTCCAGCGAGCGCTAGGAAACATGTGGTGGTATTGGTATATTTCGAAGGTATAGAAGTGTTACATGCGTGGGCATATATGTATGATCTAATTGGTCGTTGCCTGTCCATAACGTATGTTTATGTTTAGGGGTCTGCGTATATATGGGTGTCTTAGGAGTCATACTTTTACATATTGCTGTCATGGATGTTAATTGATGTGCAAGTAAGCTGGCAAATATAAAAAGCGTAAGATCTTATGACCACGACTGTGGTGTGCTACATCGCAGTTGGCCTGTACGCTTATGTAGCAACACACATGCCAGAGGACTAGGGCTTCATTGAAAGGGTGCCTTGGTTTTGTTGCAGCCTGACAAGCGCCTCCTGGTTGGGCCGATCGACACCACACAGCAGTGCCCAGCTACAGGGGCGGTGTGCTTGTCCCATTTGTGGGTCAGCGGTGATACTCAGAAATTTGGGGCACTGGAAGAGCATGTTCCGTCACCACCGGAGCGGACTTATAAATTGTTTGCCGAATTTTGTCGGCTGAATGTCAGGAAGATCATCATGGTTTTAAACCATATTTATGTTCAGCCTGTTTTGGGCACATGCTTATCAACTAACTCATTCTCTTCCCGCAACCACTGCGTCAACAGCTGCAAAGTATGCATGCTGTTTTTTTCAGCTGGCCAGTCACTGGCTTGGTACTGACCTGTACGACAGTACTAGGAGGATTTGGGGAGGGCTGTCCCACCTATAGTTCCACTGGCTTAACACCGAGCTTGCATATGTACAAGAAAGACATGATACTACTTGAAATTGCATTTCTATCTTACTATCTCATCTACCTAATATTATCTTATTTATGCTATATTTATCAACATGATTTTTCTCTTTTAAAAAAACAAAACACATGTCATTGACAGACAAAGAAAACGCTTGTTAATTGATTCGGATGTTGATGCCCTGAATAATGGTAAGTTACCTCGAGGGCCGTTTTTATGTTTTAGAACCACGGGTGTCTTAACTGTCAAGACGTACTAAGACCTCCGCCCCCTCCCATCCCTCTGAATGGGTGGACAAATCCTCCTCCCCTTTGGCGAAATAAAGCAAGCTCGACACACGTCTATTTAGTTTTGGTACAAGCTTTGTTTAAGTTACACGAGCAAACTCTTGCCAACGCGAACGAAATTTAACACCACTTACTCATTACTTTTGAAAGAAATAATAAATAGCAACCACAAACGGAGAGCGCCGCCGCTCCTGATTGACGTTACTCCGCATACTCCTGCAGTCTCACCGCTAGTAGCTGCACATAAGACCGCTAGTGAACTGCATCAACAAAAGGTCAGCTGGCTCAGGCTTGTTGGGTTATGGTTAGCTACTGCTACTAGTCCTACAATGCTCGAAAACCCATAACACGAGAGAAGCAAGAGCACCGCTCTTCTTTTCACATGGTGTTATGTTATGGGTAGCTATTGGTTTGGAAGCCCTAGCTAAGCCGGTAACGTGACTGCGGCGACATTCAGGGGTTCAGACGGGGGAAGAAAAATTGCATTGCTGTCTCCGGTGGGGGGAGCATTGGCGTGCACACACAGAGAACAGTTTTGGACATCTAGCGGCAACAGTATAACCTCTAGTTGAAATCTTCCCTGTCAGGGTTGCATGGGCGGAGGTCACCATTTCTACCGCCCCTCGCTATTGAGAGGAAGGTGCATCGGCGGATAGTCTG